CTTCAAGGGCAATATTGAAGAGGTATGGAGAGAGTGGACAACCTTGTCTTGTGCCTGATTTTAGAGGAATTGGATCTTGTTTCTCTCCATTTAATTTGATGTTGGCTGTTGGCTTGTTTCAGCATCTAGTGAGATGATCATGTGGTTTTTTTCTTCAGTTTGTTTATATGGTGGATGACATTGATGGATTTTCATATGTTGAACCATCCTTGCATCCCTGGGAAGAAGCCTACTTGATCTTGTTGCGTGATTTCTCTGATGTGTTCCTGTATTAGATTTGCCAGTATTTTATTGAGAATTTTTGCATCAATGTTGCAAAGGGATATTGGTCTGTAGTTCTCTTTCTTAGTTGTGTCTTTGTGTGGCTTGGGTATCAAGGTTATTGTATCCTCATAAAAAGAGTTTGGCAATGTCTCTTCTGCTTCTATTGTGTGGAACAATTCGAGGAGTATTGGTATTAGCACTTCTTTGAATTTGTAGTAGAATTTTGCAGTGAATCCATCTGGCCCCGGGCTTTGTTTGGTTGGGAGACTTTTGATGACTGCTTCTATTTCCTTAGATGTTATAGGTCTGTTTAAGTTGCTTATCTGTTCTTGATTCAATTTTGGTAAGTGATAACTGTCCAGAAAATTGTCCATTTCCTTTAAATTTTCAAATTTTGTGGAGTACAGGTATTCAAAGTATGACCTGAAGATTCTCTGCATTTCTTCAGTGTCCGTTGTTATGTCCCCCTTTTCATTTCTGATTTTGTTAGTTTGCATGATCTCTCTCTGCCTTTTGGTTAGATTGGATAACGGTTTGTCTATCTTGTTGATTTTCTTGAAGAACCAACTCTTTGTTATGTTGATTCTTTGAATTGTTTTCTTTGTTTTGACTTTATTGATTTCTGCCCTCAGTTTGATTATTTCCTGGCGTCTGCTACTCTCGGGTGAATTTGCTTCCATTTTTTTCTAGAGCTTTCAGCTGTGATGTCAAATCTCTGGTGTGGCTGTTCTCTAGTTTCTTCATGTGAGCACTTAGAGCTATGAACTTTCCTCTTAGTACTGCTTTCAAAGTGTCCCATAAGTTTGGGTATGTTTTGTCAACATTTTCATTGATGTTGCTATTCTCTAGTTTCTTCATGAGAGCACTTAGAGCTATGAATTTTCCTCTTAGTACTGCTTTCAAAATGTCTCATAAGTTTGGGTATGTTGTGTCAACATTTTCATTGAATTCTAGGAAGTCTTTAATTTCTTTCTTTATTTCTTCCTTGACCCAGGAATGGTGCAATTGCATGTTGTTCAATTTCTATGAGTTGGTAGGTTTTCTGCACTTTGATTTGTTTTTGATTTCTAACTTTAAAGCATGGTGGTCTGATAAGACACGGGATTATTCCAATTTTTTGTACCTGTTGAGGTTTGCTATGTTGCCGAGAATGTGGTCGATTTTTGAGAAGGTTCCATGTGATGCTGAAAAGAATGTATATTCTTTTGTGTTGGGTGCAGGCAGGTCTGAGGCACCCATTCTTCAGGTGGGTGAGAGCAGCACTGGCGCAGAGATGTCAGCGGACTCTGGGTTGCTTGGTCCTCAGAGGTTGGGTCTTCCTGTGTGCATACCCTTGGGCAGGAATTCCCAGGTTGGGCAGGCAGAAGTTGGGCCCAAGTTAGGGGCCGAAGCAGCTCACCTCTGCACTCTGTGGGGGCCAGGATTGCCTAGGGATCTCAGCAGAGTCAGGATCCCAGGGTCCTCAGGAACCTATTCAGTCTACCTGCAGATCCCAGGGCCTCTTTCAATATTTTTACTGAATAATTTATGGAAACTAAATATTGTATCTAACTAAAATATTCTATCATTGAGGCCTTGCATATTTATAAGGCCATGTTTTGTCTACTTAGCAAAACTTGTGAACCTTTCAAGAAATATA